CTTACAGAGCTAAACATCTCAGTGAGCCACCGCCCGCCTTGACTAAAGCATACTTTTTTTCGGTTTCAAATGGGTGCGTTGTCGCAATATCTAAGGCTTCAGTTTAGATTGTTGACAAGAGCTGTCTTTTCAGTATATATCGTATAAATAAAGTAATTCAAATAGTAGAAGTTGAAAGATTGTATCAACGTCACACTTACTGTGACACTGTGGCTATTCAAATATGCAGTACGGTATGAAGTCAACACTCCGTTTACACCTTGCGTACAGTGATATTCAGATAACTTTTCTAGATAACTAAGCATTCACATTAATACAAGGTGTAAATGAAGGCAACGCACCGGGATCGGAAACCAATTAGATCAACCACACTGAGGAATACATTCTATAATATAAGGTGTAAATCTGTAGTTCCCGTAGAACTGATGCTATCGTTCAGTTTTAAATGGGACATTTGGGTTTTCTTGCCGTGCTGCCGAGTTAGAAAAAGGACAGATGGCGTTTGTAGATTCTCATGAATTCCCCAGTCAAATCCAGCCATGTATAGAATGACAAGGTTGTGTTTGGTCTTCTCTGCTCTGCCTGTCATTGTGTCATTCATATCCCATTTGCCATTATTCGGTAGTCGCTAGATGGGAGGGGAGCGATTATAGAGCCCATCATCCGCAGCGTGTTAAACAGCAGCGGCAGTATCTGACTGTACGGAATCAGAAAGATAACATAAAGTGAGTTACTGTCAAAGATAATTCAAGATAAGACTTTTAACCCGCTTCATTTCACGAAGCCCAACGCACACAAAGAGCTGCACTGCGCTGCAAAGGTAAAAGACAGGAAGTACACATTTGGTAGAGATTGAGTCAAGACCAGAATCCCACATTTAGATGTCTTTCCTTATTGGAACAGTTGGTTACACGAGTCAAGCCTTAAAAATTCAATAAAGGATCTCTCTTAAATGAATTTTCAATCACGTCGGGTAGAAAAGGTGTCCTCAAACTGAGCTTTATAAATGAATGCACTTAACATTTACGCCATCCAGAGTAAAACTGGTTTCGAATCACGATTCACGCATTGATGTGGCTTCTCAGAGTAACGAAGGGATAAGAATAACAAATTATAAACTGAGGCTACATTGTTGAATAGCAATGCAGGGACACTGAACAGATGATAGCGACATATAACGCAAACAGAACGTTATTAAAGCAAAATTAGATGTCGAATTCATCTCAGCTCTAATTGGTGTCTATCTGCACACTGTGAATACCGTGAAGTGTTTTGCATTTTAGATCAGGTAACAAAGGCAGCAGCAGCACTTGTAAGACTTCTAAACTGAAGCTCACAGACTCAGGGAGACTCAGTCCATGAAAGTCTCTGAAGCAGAAAAATCCAGCAGGAGTTTGTTGTGAGAAGAAAAAAGGAAAAAACTCTATATATACAGCAAGTGAAGCACAAGGATCCACTTGTGATGTTCTGAACTGTCAGGGACACACACTGACTGCAGCAGAGGATGCAGCCGGACAGCTTGATGGTGCGCTTAGTGTTGTTCTTCTCTGACTGACCGAGGCCTTAATTGGTAGTTAACTCTGCTTGACCACGAGCTCACCACGGGCAGGAGTAAAAATCTAGCTGTATTTCTCCACACCATAGTGCTCAGGATTAGTTAATGACCACATTGTGTGTGACTATGAAAATGATACAAAAGGAAACGGCAATTAAGAGCAACTTAAGATTCACATTAACTACAAAACAGTCCCCGGGGACGGAGTTTTAGTTGCAAGATGAGATGGATTTAGCGAAAGCCAGTTTGCGTATTTGTCCTTTTTCATTAACCCTCTGAACCCCCGAACACTTCAGGGGATTTTTTATGCTCCTGTCTCATTCTTATTTAAAGTTTTCAATGTCATATAAAGTCCCACAATGCAACAGAAACAGTAGAATCATGGCTAGAAGTAGAGAGAGCTTTAAAATTGTGTTGTGTGCAGTTTGGCAAAGTCATAATGCCATAAAAAGAAAACACCAAAATTCAATTTCTTGGATTATATATTGTACAAAAACACGAAACAAACAAAAACAAAACAACACAATCAACATGTACAACATTTTCTAAAGTACCCAGAGTGGAAATCAATAGTGACTCTATATAGTATAGATATTTTTCTACTTACCCTTTTACAATCTGTACAAACTAGATGTTTACACTCTTCTGCACATCAAACCAAGAAAGTTAATTCACCATGTGGAATGTATCTTCAGACTAATTTTATTGATTATTTCTGGTGAAAGTGATGTTTTAAGCTTAGATTTGGTCATTTTCCCGCAGGGACGGCCCACATAAATAGCTCAAGCACTGTCAAAGATATGAAAATGTGATGTTTTCTTTCTGTTTATGCAGTTTTTGACTCTGACTAATGGTGTAATTTTGGTGATAAGAAAGAAAGAAAGAAAGAAAGAAAGAAAGAAAGAAAGAAAGAAAGAAAGAAAGAAAAAATGAAAGATTAACCCCATGCATGTTTTGGGGTTTAAAGGGTTAAATTGAAAAATCACAAAAGAGTGTTATACCACATAAATGAGACAAAAGCTACATTTTAAATTGCACTATAGAAAGAAAAGGAACAAAACTAGTCCCTCCAATAACTGCTATACCAGGCTAGTTAGCTTATAGCAAGTGTGACCTCTGACTTTAGTGGATTTCTGCCTCTAAATCATGTATTTAATGCATTTTTTTCTGATTCATTTGATGCATAAAACAAGAACATGTTTTGCTCATGGAGTCAGTGTCCTTTACATGCTCTGAGTAAAGTGCTGCATCTAAATGTTTTATCTTAGATTAAGGTTATACAACGTACATGCCTTTTACCGCATTCGACTCAGAGCCTTCAAACTTCAAACCCCATCTCCTTTTGGAGCTCGGCACAAGTTCACTGCGACAGAACAGACTGGCTCAGATACCTTACAGTCATACTGGAATACTATTTATCAGGGTGTCTCATTTTCACTTTCCCCGGTACTTATCTGTCTCTCCGTCCTGGTCCTTAATTTCCTCAGTGACACCTCCAGCTCAGGGTAGACTGTGTGTTGTACAACGTGTTCTGTCACACTCGCCTTTTTTTCCCCCCATTTACTGTGACAGCAACTTGTTTCAGATACTGAACCTTTTATACAACCTGTCACACTCCAAATCCTCCAGTAGCCTCCTCCTGCCTCTGCTCTCCTGATTGGATAGCTGCGCCTCTCATTGCCTGCTCCTCACCATTAACTGACCACTCATCTTGACACTTGGCTATTACTCTGCATTACATACTTGTCAGCCACTTTGCTGCTCCCTCCCTCACTCATTTTCCTCCTTTTTTTTCCCCCTCCACATCTCCAGCTCCACTCCAACTCTGACAAGGGCGACGGTTCTGTGCGCTACATCCTGTCCGGCGAGGGGGCCGGGTCTATCTTCATCATTGACGAGACGACGGGTGACATCCACACCGCCAAGAGCCTGGACCGGGAGACCAAGTCTCATTATGTCCTACATGCGAGGGCCATCGACCGCTGGTCCAACCGCTCGCTGGAGGCAGAGTCAGAGTTCATCATCAAGGTCCAGGATGTCAACGACAACGCTCCAGTGTTCCCCAACGGACCGTTCTCGGCCACAGTGCCTGAGATGTCCGATATTGGTAAGACAGATACAGCTTTTGCTAATGATTGGTGTAACCAGTAGTGTTAGTAATGGCTTAGGGGTCCTAGTAAAAGCCAGGTCGGCAAATCCACAGGTTCCTGGACATGGCTAACCTAAACTGAATACTTCCATTATCAGGGTTATTAGTTGCATGTTGTGCTTTTTATTTTATGACATGTCAGAATCTATACAGACTTTGACATGACTGAATGGAACAATGGGATGTACAATGGGACTGGAATGGAACAATGGGATAATCAGCTTTGCTTAATCTGTGGGTGGTTGTCTTTAAATACTCAAAGCAAGGGATTCTCAGAGACTAGTCCTGGAAGGTACTGATCCAATCAGTGTTGCAGGATTTGAACAGTGAAGGCCTCATGATTTCAAGATTATGTTGTCATTACATGGACTTTAATCAAATGCAATATATCCCACCTTCTTAGGAAGTACTTAGGACCCTCTTAGGAAGGACGAGCCATGATAGGGCCTTGCTCAAGGACCCAACAGTGGCAGTTTGTTGGTGCTGGGGCTTGAACCCCTCACCTTCTGATCTGATTCTGATCAGTAGCCTAAAACCTCAACCTTTGAGTCACCACAACTACCTCATGAGTGCATTCAGCAGCGTTAACGTTGGCACCCGATTCTGATTCCGTTTTAATGTTTTGACTGAAGTGTGTATCAGTTCAGTCATTTGATTTTTATTCATCTCAGTCTAGTTTTCACCAGTGACATCTTAGTCTAGTATTTGTTTAATTTTTTTAGATTATTCAAGCGCTTTGAGGCCACGGACACCGTTGGTTGCCATGGTTACGTGTGTTACTCTGGTTTGTGGTGAGGTTAATAAAAAAAGGCTGCGTGTCCGTGTCCCTGCTCTGCAGTGATGCAACAGACGGACTCTCCTCAGTAAATTCAGTTAACATTTCCAAACTCTGAGCCACTCTCTCTCTCTCTCTCTCTCTCTCTCTCTCTCTCTCCGTCCATCTGGCTAACCGAGCATCAGTGTTAGCATTAACACAGCTACATGTTCTCTCATCTCAAGAGCAGCTGCTCATTCAGTAGGTGATTCACTCACTTGTTCACTAAAGCCATGTTTGCTGTCTGGGTTTAGCCCGAGAAGAGACCCTAGATGTTTGGGAAACAGGAATTCAAAGACAAAGGGTTGCTTGGAGGGCCGTCGTTAATCCTGGAACCGACTCAATCCTTCTGACAGCAACATGAAAGATATGAAAGTAGCGTTGATGTTACATCCACATCAGCTGTGCTACATCAGCAGTTCAATTACTGTACATTCTCATAGACGCTGCCTATGTGGTTGTAGTTTGTCTCCGCTGCCTCGTTGCTGCTTCTCTCTTAGTTAGTAAATCTGTTTACTATGAAGAACTTCAGTGCCTGACACATTACTGAATGTACAGAGCTTCTTAATTACCAGCAGCACAACAACTCAAACTGATGAATCTACTAAACAAGAGGAATTCTGATCAGGAGCTGCAGGGTGTGACTCCACAGATGCTGCAGCGTATTAAACAAAACACTAATTAGTTCTTTTGTCCATTCGACTATCTTGAACATTATTGTTTTTAATCAGTGATGAAACGCACGGTTTCCATCTTCCAGTGTTACTTTTTGTTTAGTTTTGTTTCTGCCGTGGAAAAAAATAAAAAAAGGGTCATCAAGGAATATTTTTCATTAGATTAAATTAATAATGGCATTCAGTTCGTTATCCTTTGCATTCGTCGTCTGCCTCCCAGCAGTAAAACCCTTGTTACATCTTATATACATAATTTAATTCAAAGACAAATTATTCACCTGCTCTGATACTGATTACTCACACTGTGACAGAATAGTTGAGAACATGCACCATTTGCTCATTTACCTTTGACTTTTAATTAACTTTATGTTTCAGCTTGTCTGTCCCCACTGCTGTAGTTGCTGCATAAATATGAGTTCGTTATTCAACATCAAAACAATCATTATTTAGTTCAGCAGCTCCAGCTCCCATCAGGCTTCCATCTAATTTAACAGCAGCTTTGTGGGACCTTTTGTTGTGTCACCTTTGTTGTTGGAATAATGGCGTTTTAACATTTTACCACCAGGTACGATGATGATGCATGTCCATTTGGTCTTCTGTGTTAATTGCAACTAAACAAAAACACATTTCTTTCTCCAATTAGAGGATATTTCAGCTACAGACAGTGAAACAATACTGGAAATACTGTTCTCAGAAATAATGTTTATTTCGAAATTCACCAACCAGGCTTTTTTGAAAAACATGGGGGTTTTTTTTTACCAGAAAGAAAATTAAGAAAAACACCACGATGTGGCTGAGATGCTCATTAGATAGCTGCTAATTCTGCAGGCTGCACAGCACTGACATGCAAGGATGCACATATCCCATCTGGGAGCAGAGTATGATTTTAGATTATGCAGAGGATGTTTGCACATGCGCTTCTTTCACTGGTTGAGTTCATTAGCAAAAGCAGATAGAAATCATTTTTGGAAACGAATAAAGCAACACCAGTTTGGTTGACATTCCTTTGCACGATAAAAACAACAAGGAAAGGTGTTACTAAGAAGGAGGAAAAAAGAGAGAGAGAGACAGTTTAACATATTGAAACAAGCCAACACCAGCTCTATTCCTCTTCCCTGAAGTGCATAATTGAAAAACATGATTTAGAAAAATAAATCAAAATAGAGACAACTGTATTTTGCAAATGAACCCTTCAGATGTACAAGAGCACTCTGTGGCACTTCAAAAAAAGAACTGCAAATCTGCAAATGGAAAAACACACAGAAACACACAGGAACATTATGGATGTCATGTGTTTTCCATCTAGATGAATGCAAATAACCGTGCAGACACACAGTTATTGTGTTGAGACAAAAATGTCATTTCGTGCCAACTCGCTTCATTTTTTCAGTTCACGTAAAAAATAAATCATGTTAAAATGTCGGTGAAGTTCATGGGACCCTGTAGAATCTTGACTCCAAATACTTTTCAGTTCCAAATTTTTGAAGTTTTTGCGGTTCCCTCCAGACATCTCCAATCACTTATTTATGACTTGAGTTGGTTATAAATTGCACTGAACATCCACAAAGCCCTGAGGAGGATTTCAAACTAAACAGCTGATGCTGAAATTTTCACAGTAATCAAATTTATAGTGATTATTAATGTCCCATCTGAACAAAATTGTCAACTATTCACATTTTACAGTTGAAACCAGAAGTTCACATGCACTATAAAAAGACATAAAACTTTTTTTCTCCATTTCTGACATTAAATCAGAATAAACTTTTCCTGTTTTAGGTCAGTTAGGATTACCAACATTATTTATATAATGAGAGATTGTTTTTAGAGAATTTTTTTATTGCTTTCTTCAAAGTCAGAAGTTCTTTACTATTTGGTAGCATTGCCTTTAAACTGCATGACTTGGGTCAGATGTTTTGGGTTTCCTTCCACAAGCTTCTCACAATAGTTTGATGAATTCTGGCCCATTCCTCCTGACAGAACTGGTGGAACTGAGTCAGGTTTGTTGGCTGCCTTGCACGTCTTTTCATCTCTGACCACAAATTTTCTACAGGAGTGAGATCAGGGCTTTGTGATGGCCACTCCACAACATTGACTTTGTTGTCCTTAAGCCTCTTTATAACTTATCTGGTGGTATGCTTATGGTCATTGTCCATCTGAAGACCCATTTCCGCCCAAGCTTTAACTTCCTGGCTGATGTCTTGAGATGTTGCTTCAATATTTCCACATAATGTTCTTTCCTCATGATGCCATCTATTCTGTGAAGTGCACCAGTCCCTCCTACAGCAAAACACCCCCACAACATGATGCTGCCACCCCCGTACTTCACAGTTGGGATGTTGTTCTCAGGCTTCCTCCTTTTTCCTCCAAATGTCACGATGGTCACGATGGTCATTATGGTCAAACAGTTCAATTTTAGTGTCATCAGACCACAGGACATGTCTCCAGAAACGAAGATCTTTGTCCCTGTGCGGATTTGCAAACTGTAATCTGGCTTTTTTATGTTGCTTTTTGAGTGATGTCTTCTTCCTCTCTGAGTAACCTTCCAGCCCATGTCAGTACAGGACTAGTTTCACTGAAGATAATGACACTCTATTACCAGCTTCAGCAGCATCTTCACAAGGTCTTTTGCTTTTGTTCTGGGGTTGATACGCACATTTCACACCAAAACACTTCATCTCTGGGACACAGAATCCGTCTCCTTCCTGAGCGGTATGACGGCTGGACATTCCCATGGTGTTTATACTATAATTGTTTGAACAGATGAACATGGAACCTTCAGGCATCTGGAAAATGTACCCAAGGATGAACCAGACTTGTGGAGGTCCACAGTTCTCTTCCTGACATCTTGGCGGATTTCTTTAGATTTTCCATGTTGTCACAAATAGAAGCAGAGTGTTTGAGGTAAAACACATCCACAGGTGTGCCTCCAATTAACTCAAATGTTGTCAATGAACCTATCAAAAGCCTCCAAAGACATGACATCATCATCTGGGCTTTCCCAAATAGTTTGAAGGCAAAGTAATCTTAGTGTATGTAAACTTCTGACTTTGAAGAAAGCAAACAAGAAAAAAAAAACTCTAAAAAATTCTCTCTCTTATTATTCTGGCATTTAGCAAATAAAAATAATTTTAGCATTCCTAAATGACCTAAAACATGAAAAGTTTAGTCTGATTTAATGTCAGATAGGGAGAAAAAAAAGATTATTTGTGTGTTTATCCAGTGTGCGTAAACTTCTGGTTTCAACTGTATGTACATTTATTGATTCTGTGTAGCATCAATACAGTAGAAATTCTGTCATTCTGCATAAAAAACTGACAATCACACCTTTAAAGCTAAAAAAAAAAAAAGAGGAAAAACCCTTTTAAAGTAGTCTCAGTGTAACATTTTGAATTCCTCGACTGCTTGTTTTTATTGGAAGTAAGTCTATCAGCGTGAATAATAATTGCAGACATAAAAGAATTTGAAAGGTG